GTGACCCCGGGGCCAGGGGATGTCATCCTCATTACACGCTCCCCCATCCGCACATGCCCATGGTATTCAGAGAACATTTCTAGCACCTACTATGTGCCACGTCTCTTGGGCAAATGAGGCGGCCATGTGTGTCAAAAGGCTGCATGAGACTTTTTTAAAAATACATTTTTATTGGTTTCAGAGAGAAAGGGAGAGGCGAGAGGATGGAAACATCAATGATGAGAATCATTGATTGGCTGCCTCCTGCATGCCCCCTGCTGGGGATCGAGCCTGCAACCCAGGCATGTACCCTTGACTGGGATCAAACCTGGGACCTTTCAGTCCACAGGCTAACACTCTATCCATTGAGCCAAACCAGCTAGGGCTGCATAAGACGTTTTTTGCCACCAGAATTCCTTTTGTCATCCTTTCTTCCCTCTACCACCCTGGACTTAGATTGATATTAATTATTCTGTCAGCCAAAAAGTGCATTTAGCCCGGCTGGCATGACTCAGTGGGTGAGCATCGACCTATGAACCAGGTCACAGTTTGATTCCCAATCAGGGCATATGCCAGGGTTGTGGGCTTGATCGCCAGTGTGGGGCGTGCAGGAGGCAGCCGATCAATGATTCTCATCATTGATGTTTCTGTCTCTCCCTCTTCCTTCCTCTCTGAAATCAATTAAAATAGAATCCCCCCCCCCCCAAGTGCACTTATTATTTATTTCCAAGTTTTTGGTAGTCAAATATTTATATAACTGCAAATAAGTGCTCTGTGAACAGGAGCTAGTAAGTGGAATTACTACACTGACTACCCATTGGACAAAAGCAAAATTGCTGGCAGACTATCTGAGAGGGAGTTCAGGGTTTTAGAGGTAGTGATATAACAGCTGGGTTTTGAAGAATAAGATTCACAAGCAGAGAGAAGGAGGTTGCTGCAGGCAGAGGGGCAGAAGCACAGGTGCTGAGCCCAACACCTCCACTCCTGGCTGATCAAGTGGATTAGGCTGTAGCTTGAGCTCAGTGGGTGGAAGCTGGGGTGTGGAATGGAGCCAATGACGGAGATGAGAACCAGCTATCTTATGGTTGCATGTTCCAATCTTTCCATATCATGGTCCTGGGAAAACCAAGGCCCAGGAAGCCCCACCGGAGTCCCTTTGGTTCCCGAGAGCAGAAGGAAAGAGACCTGGCCTGAAACCTGTCTCCCACCCTGGCTGCCTGCACCTTAGCTCCAAGAACAAACCATTTTCCTGTGATTTTCTTGGCTCACCTCTTAAATGTCCCAGAGCCAGAACAGGCTGTGCCACGGCCGAAACAAACATGCTGAACAAATAAACAAGGCAGGCTGCGGGCCAGGGAAAGCACCAGAGGGGCCTCCAACCAGACCCACGGGTTCCGGCAACTGCCTGAGCCTGGGCCTCTGCTTATTCCTTGGAATGTGAGAGGGGGGAGCATGGGAGTTTTGGGGTCCCTTCCAGCTCTGTGATCTAAGCAAGTGGCCCGTAGAGGGGGAAACTCCAGAGCTACTGGTTCCGAAGGAGCCTCCTTCCTTTCCGCTATGCAGTGTGGCTAAGGCCAGGAGAGGGGAGATCTTGTGGCAAATACTGAAGCCAAAGGACACTGGCCGTTTGCTCACTCACACAGCTAGAGCCCGGAAGAGTCCGGATTCCGACCAAGGCCTGCTGGGCTCCACGGCTCTTTGGTGGGAAGGGGCTCTGGGTTGTGTCACGACATTCAGCCTTGACACAGGTCCCAGGCAGTGCCAGTTTCCAGCGAATCCCCAGCTTACAAGTGAGTATTCTTCCAAAGTGGCTGGTAAGCCCGGGAGTCTGAGTCCCACAAAGAGGCTGGTGGGGCCCCAGCCAGGTGGTCCTTGCTCTGAGCAGCCCCCGGGCTGGGAGTGTCCTGCGAGGACCCCGGGGTCCCTCTGCGCTGCCCTTTCAGCCCAGGTGGCAGAACCATCCCAGACACTGACTCATCAGTTCCCCTTGCCCAGCATCACCGCCGCTCCTGTGCTTAGAAAGGCAGGAAATTGAACTCCGGTGTTTTAGAAAGTCTTTCAACAATAAGCTTGATTAAAAGGGGATTTTCCGTTAACCCTGGAGAATTTCAGTTAACCAATGCCTTATTGTGTTCTAGTTCTTTGAAATGTGGTCAGCGATGTTCGGTGTGTGTTTATGGTAAATCTCAATAGCCAGACGACTCCATTAAACAGGATTTCCCCACCGCTTGGGATCAGTCATAGAACCACAGACTTACCAAGGTGAAAGGCGTTGGGGATCATTTAATAGGATCTTTCATTGTACAGATGAGGAAACTGAGGCCCAGAGAGGGGATGCAACTTACCCAAGGTTACACAGCCCCTGACTGGCATAACCATGGTGAGAAACTCCTAGTCCACAGTGCTTTGTGCTACGTCACCAATACTTACAAGGCAGGAAACCTTTGTGTCCAGGGCTACCTGCTGAATTTAGCTTGCAGTGGTGTTTTATTTGGTCTGCACCATGTTTTTAAAAATAGGGAAGTTTCCTGTAAAAATCCAAACTTGTTGTTTTTTGTAAAACTGGATAACCTGGCCACACGGGGCCTAATGTCAACAAAGGAGGGCTGAGTGGCAGCAACCCCTGTGGACTGGGGACATGGGATCTAGATGCCATACCCCACCACTGCTGTCGTTGCACACCTGGCCCTCCTCACCCATTTCACGACCTGCTGGTCCCTCTAGGCATTGGGACTTGGCCTCTCTTCTATCTTGTGAAGGGCACACTCCTTGGTTAATAAAAAAAGAGGGCTGAAGTGAGCCAGAATGAAAAGTAGGGGAGACAATGAGGAATCAGAAGCACTTGTGTTAAGTGCCAGGGTGCAGCACCAGGGATCCCGGCTGGCCCTGGGTAAGCTCAGATCAAGGGCTGAGAAAGGGCTCTAGGAGCTCCCATTTAGGTGAGAAATGTGAAAAGCTAAATAGCAGTAGGAGAGATACCACTTGGCAAGATAAGATGCACTGGCAAAGTGCATGGACCAGGTGAGATGTGTTAAAGCAGCTCAGGTGGTTGAGAAAGTTATAATGAGATGGGTCTTGACCCAGAAGTTAACCTGTATTAAATAATGGAGAGACCAGAGACAGAAACACCAGCCAGGAAGCTACTGTGGCCATCAGAACTGAGAGCCAGGGTCAGGTGAGTGGAGGTGAGAAAGGAAGGAAGAGATGGATGCCAGAGAGAGATCCCAGAGGGGGACTGGGCAGGATTTGGACTCTGCATGGAGGTGGACAGAGAGGAGAGGGAAGAGTCAACGTTGATGGATCCTTTGTGCCTGGTGACCAGGAGAATGGCCAAACCCCAAACAGAAAAGGGAAAGCTGGTTTGGGGAAGATCTGTTGAATTTGAGATGACAAAGGGCTTACGGTTGTCCAGTGGACAGCTGAAATTGGGACTGGAACTTGAGAGGTCAGAGCTGGTAGCCTAGAGGGGCTAGTGAAACCATCAAGTCCATGAGACCCCTCTCCCAAGAGCAGAGGACAGCGAGCTGAAGGCTACGTGAGGAACCCTGCGGGATGGCCATCCTTAACAAGGCGCAGAGGAGGACGAGGAGCCAGCCACAGGGAAAGCACAGTTGGGACAAAGAGGACCAAGCTGGGTGTCGCTGGAGAAGCTCAGGAGAGAGCTTGAGAAGAGCCCTTTACAGTGTCAGAGAGTGTCAGAAATTAGGCCCCAGAGTCCAGAGCGTGGGGCCATCACACTGAGCATGCGTATTGCACTCTAGAGGCATCTCACGGCGGGGGGGGGGGGGGGGGGGGAGGAAGAACTAAGATAGCAAGCACAGGGCCTAGAGACTGGAAGGTGGGAGGCGTACCTGTAGGTGTTAGGGAGGGGTCAGAGAGGAAGAGATGGAGGATCCCCTTTTAACATCGGGGGCGGGGCGGGGGGGGGGGGTGTCGGGATGGGGGAGATGCTGAGTCAACATCAGCCAGCTTTCCAAGGCTTGATTCCTGTGATAGCTGCTGGGTGTGTGTGTGTGGTGGTCTTCTCATCATTCTAGAGAGGTGTCATCTGACATCACTTTCTTATTTTGGACTGTTCCCTATTTTACCGATCTGGATTAAAAACAAAAACAAAAACCTGTGGAGAGCTGCCCACTCTGAGGGGGAACAGCCCAGGTGTGAGTGATTCAAAGGAAACGAACGGTCCTTTCCCTGACACAGACACGCCTGTGAAGGAGCCTCAGCTTGCACCGATGCTCAGTCCCGAGAGGGAAGCTGAACTCCAGCTTTATAACCGAGCCCCATTGTGCCAGTGAAATGGAGGCTCCGGAGGCCAAGGACCTGAAGCTCTAGGTGTTGAACTGGAGTCCGCGTTCTTGTCAACACCAGGCAGGCCGGACTCAGGGGCTCGCCCACCTACACCAAGTAAGCACTTACCATCGAACTTCCCGTTTTACCCATTTGGGGGTGAGATCCTTGCACAAAGACGCATGGATTAGACAGAATGAGGCTGATCCCAGGGAGGGAGGAGGTGGGGGGGGGGGGCACTGAATCTGATCCGGAGGAAACTGGCTGGAGGAGGCCATCTGTGGGATTCTAGGGGCCTTTGTGCTGGGCTTTTCACATGGGGTCCTCTCCCCTGGGGTCCCAAGCACAACCCTGCCATGATAAGCAGAATTGCTGCATCTCTGTGTGCATTTGGGGGGAAGGGGTGCACATGGGTACTTTCTGGGGAGAGGGTGCAGATCCTTCATCAGACTCTCCCAGGGGCCTTGTCCAAAGGAGAAAACCATTGACATGTTAGCATCTGCGGTCCCCTCGGTGGATCTGGACACGACGGTATAAATTATGCCCAGTCCCTGCCATTTTTTCTAAATCTTCCTAGAAATATATTCTAGCCAGACTCTCACCCTGCACAGGGCGCAGAGCCCCTCCTCCTGGAAACCTTATGGGGTGGGGAGGGGGCGCTGTGGCTGATGATCCCCGAAGCCCCCAGCGCAGCGCGGGCCGGGGAGCGGGAGGCAGCGGATGTCACGGCTTACCTCAGAGCCCGAATTAGAAGCTGAAAATCACAGCAGGAAATAATGCGGTGCCCAAAATAGACGCAGCGCTGGGAGAGAGGCCGGGAGGAGGTGGCGTTTGAGGCTCCTGCGGAGTCCTCCCCAGCGGCGGCCTGACAAGCGCGTCAGAGGCGTGGACGCAGCGGCCAGAAAAGGCCAGGAAGCCGGGCGGCTGCTGGGGAAGGAGGGGCTCAGTCCACACGGGGAGGGCGGCCTGCGGTTCCGGCCAGGCCCGCCTCCGGCCCTCCCCCACTCGCCCTCCTCCCTCCAGCTCCCCACCGCTGCCCCCCCCAGCCCCCCCCTCCCTTCCTATCCACACTTGGTCTCCCACCTTCCCCAAGGCCTTTGGTTTCTCCCTGTCTTCCCCTCTCTCTTCCACGCTCCCTAAAAATCAATGGAAAAATACCCTAGGATGAGGATTAACAATAAAAGGAAATAGTGGCTAAGGTTGTAAGGAGCTAAAAGAAATATCAGAATAAAATAGCAATATAGTTAATATTAATAATTACTAATCACAAGACTTTGTGCTAAGCATTTTACAGGAATGAATTCATTTAAGTGACAATAACCCTATGAAATCAGGAGTAGCATAGCCTTTTGCCAGAAAACTCAAGGTCATGGAAGGCTTAGAGCTGGGGTTCTGATGGACGGAACCAGCACCCTAACTGCAAATGGAAAGGGGGTGCTGGTTTCTGCAGGTTTTTTCCTCGGTATGGAAATATCTTCATTTTGCTAGTTATAAAGGTAACACATGCTTACTAAGAACAATTAAGACGATATAGAAGAGTGTAAAGTAAAAATATTTAAGTCTTCTCCCATAATGCCCCTCTGCATGGATTTAACACACTTCTGCCTTTTAAGATCCTTGGTATCACAGTGTCACCTTTGGGAACATCTGTGCCTGTGGCAGCACACATTGATGATTATGTCCTTGATTCTCACAGGGGAATTGGTGGGTCAGAAGGAATAAACATTTACATTTTAGTCACTTATTGAAATGGACAAGTTATTTATTTATTTACTTATTTTTCAAGTTATTATTTCGAGCCATGGTATATAATGACAGGTAAGAATGCCGTAGCCCTTGTATGCTGGCAACAGTTCAATTAGTACAATCTTAAAGAAAGCTATTTGTTAACAGGTATCAAGAGACTTAAAAATGTTCACACTTTTTACCTTTGAGCCACTCCACTTACGAGAACCTAACACAGGAAATAAGTAAATGAAAAAGTAATATTTAGTGTTGTAATAGGAACGATTGGGGCATCCTGACATGTCCTTTAACGAGGGAATGGTTAAATGAGTCATGCAAAAAGTATGACCATTTTTGGGCTGAAAGACTATATTGTCATTAAAAACAATGGTTATGAAGACCCTAGTAACATGATGGAAATGCTTAGAAGGTAAAATCGAATGAAAAAAGTAATATACAAAGCTATATGCACGTATAATTACAATTGCATAAGAAGAAACTGTAAAGAAATGGTAGTATAGTTGTATCAATGGTTATGTTAGTGTTGGGATCATTGTGTGTGTTTTTTAAATTCTTTCTGTAATGTGGTTTAAATACTGCAGCATAGATCGCAATTATCAAAGGCCCCTGCTTCCTTTCCCCTCTCTGGGTTGAGCTTTCACCTCTAGAATTGAAACAGTCAGACTAGAAGTAGATGACTTCTAAGTCAGCCCCGTTCTGGTATTGTATGTTCTCTGATACAAGCACGTGATTCTTTCTGTTACAGACTTGAAGCCAAACTTCAGTCTTCACACTGACAGTGGACAGGTCAGACTAGAACCTGCTTTGTCATCATTAGCTCAGGCTATGCTTGCATGTGAAATAAGTGAGGCTAGATAGCGGTCAGGGGAATCATGTTGTGATTCTTTATCTGGAGAAGTGTGTGTGTGTGTGTGTGTGTGTGTGTGTGTGTGTGTGTGCAGGGGCAAGGCTGGAAGAATGCCACGCTGCTGGCGCAGCCTTCGTCAGAACCCTGAGAAGGGCTGAGTGGGCTCTGACTCAGCTTCGTGACTCACTCTGTGTTGCATCTCCGAGCTCTGGGTACATCTTCGGGATTATTTCAGCTCAGCCTCGAGTGGAGGAGGGAGAGATTTGGGCCAGCACCCCTGGATGACTCACCCTGCTGAGCTGGAAGGAAGAGGCCAAAGCGATTCTATCTTGTACCCTCCGCCACCCCCCATCACCACCCCTGCCTCCCCAGAGGTTCCCATGCAGTCCCAGACCTCATGTGTAGGGCAGGGCTGCTCTAAAGGCTCCCACCCAGGCACTTCCCACCCACCCACACCTCCCTGCCCAAACTGCTATAATTTCCTTGGTTCCTTCACTTGGTTGTTCTCTGTGCTTCCTGTGGGCATCTGAGGTCAGCTTATAAGGAGGCTTATAAAACTCTCCTGAACTGCCTTTCATTCTGTTCTTTACTTCCCACAAAACTTTCCAGTTTACAAATTAGTTTTACATCCCTTTTCTCGGTTGATTCTCTGTGAGACCTTAGGAAGCCTGGCAGAGCGGAATATCACCGTTCTGTAGGGAAGGTCAGGGGAGGTCAAAGAAGTGAAGGGACCAGTAAAGGGACTGATGAAAGGCATTGAGGGCTGGGCAGGACAGAGCTGTGGGAACTGCAAGGCACTTGGCCGGGCAGTGGGCTGGGGAAAGGGGCTGTGCTGGCTGTGACATGACAAGAAATGTGGCTGCATGGGGGCAGAAGACAGACAAAGTGTTTTGACTCTATCCCAAGACCATTGGAAACCACTGAGGGTTTCAGCAGGGGCCTGGGTGTGGTGTGGCAGGGAACGGGAGCAGGGCAAGCCGGGAAGCTGTCCCCGCAGTTCAGATGAGAGAGATGGTCTGCCGGTGCAATGGCTCCTGGGATGTGTCAACCCTGAGTATTCCCCTGTAGGGGGCAGAGCTTCCTATAGATCAGTGGTTCTCAACCTTCCTAATGCCGCGACCCTTTAATACAGTTCCTCATGTTGTGGTGACCCCCAACCATAAAATTATTTTTGTTGCTACTGCATAACTGTAATTTTGCTACTGTTATGAATCGTCATGTAAATATCTGATATGCAGGATGTATTTTCATTGTTACAAATTGAACATAATTAAAGCATAGTGATTAATCACAAAAACAGTATGTAATTATATATGTGTTTTCCAAAGGGGTGGCGACCCACAGGTTGAGAACCGCTGCTCTAGATGGTGCCTGGAGCCAGGCAGTGGGTGAGATGGCTCAGGGAAGAGGGAGAGACACGATGCACACCGAGGCACACCCACACTTAAGAGCCAAGCAGAGGCAGGTGTGGCATGACAGGAGGGGGCCCCCGCCACACCGTTAAAGCACCGCCCACCGTGACTCCATCCTGTGCGCAGGCCCTTCGAAGGAGACACAGAGGCTCGGGGGTGAAATGACCTGAGGGGACCTCTGGTTCTTCCCTGTGTTGTGGTTCCTCTCCTTTCACCCAGTGCTGGTTGCATGGGTCACCAGCCAGGAATGGAAGCCACAGCCGTGGCAGGCAGCCAGGAAGTGGTCTCTTAGGAGAGTCCTGGAACCTCCAGCGGCTATGACTGCAGGCTCTGGGAAGGGGCGGGGCCCCCTGAGCCCTTTCCCTGGGAGGGGTATGGTTTCCAGATAAAGTATGGAATATCCAGTTAAATGTGAATTTCAGATCAACAGAAAATAATTTTTAATATGAGCATATTCCAAACATTCCATAAGACATACTTGTATTTAAAAAGTACTTGATGATTATCTGAAAATTCAAGTCTCACTGGGTATCTGTCTGTATTTTTAGTTGCTAAATTTCGCAGCCTATTGGGGGGTGCCTCACTGCCCCTGCATTCCCGGGCCTTGGGGTTTTCCTTTGTCTGAGGCCATGGTAAGACCCAGCCTCTGCATCCGTCAGCCTGCCCTGGGGCCTCACGTGGGCCTCTGGGGAGACAAGCCTGTTTCTGATGGCCTTGCAGCTCCTGGCTCAGGCCCAAGCGACTGTGGCCTTCCACGTGCCAATGGCTCCCCATCTGGGCAGACAACCTGCTGTCTCCGGTCATGAGGCGACCAGGGCTCTCTTGCACTGGCCAGGGTGGCACATCCAGGCTGGTAGGTGGCCTAGGAGCCTGTAGCCCTCACCCAGCTGACAGCTTGCACTGAGGGGCTGAGGCTAAGGACTAGAGGAAAAGGGAAATGGAAGCTCTGTCTTGGGACTAGGGACCGAGGGTGTGTGTGTGTGTGTGCATGTGCATGTGTGTCTTCAGAGACCTACTGTTAGAAAGAAGCAGTGCCCCACCTGGCCTGGGTTTTACAGAGTTCAAGGCACTGTTTCATGTCTGACCTCATTTGACCCTCACCATATGGTCAGATGAACAGGGAGGGTATTCTCAGCTGCCCACCCTCCTTCATGGAGGAGTAAAAGGGTTGAGAGAGGTTAAGTTTTTGCCCAGAGTCATATATCCTAACACCAACACAGAGAAAAGTGATAAAAATTCTGCAACTCCAAGGAGCCTGGGGTATGATGCTCTGGATGGAGTTCCCACATTTACACAGTAGGGGGCAGACCTGAGGCTTTGCTTTAAGAACTAGGTAGAGGAGTCCACAGCCCTGCCCTGGACATAGGCCAAAAGACAGGCTGGAAGTTCTCACCGGCGGAACTTGAAGAGCTTCCTCAGGACACATCTTCTTTCCACCACTGCCCAGACTTGGAGCGGGCAGTGGAGGTCTTGGGTAGATTCTGGGGAAGCAAGACTCAGTGCTGGGTGTTGTGAGTGGGGATCTGGGTCGGTCACAGCAGAATCTGTTGAATGTTGAACCAGACCTTGAATGGGGACAACACAGCAGTGTGTGTGGCCAAAATTATATATGTGAAGAGCTGTGTATATTTATCCCACACATATTTTCTGAATGTCCATCATATGCCAGACACCATTGCAGACACGGGGGATACCACAGGATGGAACAAATATGCACACACAGATCCTCCCAGATTGCCCTCCCTTGCTTTTGAGTTGACTATTTTGACCCCAGCAAATATACTCCAGCCCCTTTACCAGCTTTCAGAAAAACAACAACAAAACCAAACCTTTCCCATCAAACATGGAGTGAAGGCTGGGGTGAAGGTGGGTGGGTGGAGGGCATTCATTTTACTGAGGATTTACTGGGTCGGGG